CCTTAGTTGATCTTTGGAGTGTTAGAAGGGACTTGGTTGAAAAACCTAGTCTTGAACCTTGGCTTATGTTGCACTTCAAACCTATCCTTGGAAGAATTTCCATCTTTGGCTCTTGTCTTCTTCAACTCCTGCAAACTTGCTTAAGATTTTGTTCCTCAATTTGTTTGGCATGAATCATGAGACGAGAGATTCCATGGTAGGTATCAACATAGACAACCTACACTCATTAACCACAAGATCAGATATCCTGAAAAAATTGTTCATCTTAGCCCTAGAATCCGCCACCATAGTAGAAGCATATTTGGATAATTCAGTGAACTTGAGGCCACACTCCTTCACACTCATATTCCTTTGGTGAATATTGATAAATTATTTCATTTTTATCTGCCTTAGTTCCAAAAGAAATAACCTATCAAGGAATTTTTTCTTGAAATCCCCCCAAGTAATCCGGCCTTCTCTAACCGGTCTCTCATCCTTCCATTGTTCATACAAAACTTGAGCCACATCTTTGAGTTGATGGGCAGCTAGTACAGCCTTTTCTTTAGAAGTCACACCCATGGAATCAAGAACCTTGAATACTTCATCAATAAACCCTTGTAGGTTTTCTTCCACCTTGGAGCCAAAGAAAGTAAGGGGATTCATCCTTATTAAATCCCTTATCCTTGATGTAGTGGTTCTAGCATTGGAAATCACTTGCACCCTAGTATTCCTAGCAACTTGATTAGCCAACACTTGAGTCAATCTATAATGGATGCACTTATCTCAACATTAGACATAGCCCCTTCTTCAATAGAAACTTGAGGATATTAAGGGGCTTGAGGGGGAACCGCCTCATTTACATTGTCGTCTTCGTCCGTTTGAGCATTGTTCCTTCTTGTATTCATTGCTTCTAAGCACAAGAAATAGATTATATTAAAAGACACATAGAGTTAAGACTTTTGAGGCGCAATGTAGGAATACCAAGAAGATGAGAATTTCCGAAGAATCACATAGTCGATCGTTCATAAGTGTGGCGCGCTTCACAATCATGAGCAAGACTCTACATTATTTATTTAATGACACATCAATCCTAAAATTACTCCACCTCGTGCTTTGATACCAAGTTTTTCACGATATTGGAGAGCACCCTCTAGAAGTAACCGGCGTCTTCGTCCTCAAAGAGGACTTAGACTAGTCCTTAGCAATCATCATTATATATCATAAGTCAAAAATGCAAAAATTTAGAACTTTTACAAAGTGAATTATACTTAGACTTCTCACATATCATATACGGAGTTTACGTAGACTCATCTCTTTTGAAGTTTACATAGACTTCTTATTTAGCATAGGTAATTCATAAAATTAGTCTAATACTTTTTCTCACATAAAAACCATCTAAAGAGAATTAAAACATTCAGTCTAGCCTTTTAGAAGTACATTATGCCACATATAGGCTTACAACAATAGTCTCAAATGATAATTGAAAGAATGAGCGTATTTAGACATAAGCAACATCATATCTAGAGTAGAAGAATGGCAATATCCCCGAACTTGAGGACTCACCAATGGCCCGTTCCTACATTGTTGGGGGGGGGGAGTAAGAAATATGAGTTAGTACATTACACGTACTAAGTATAACTTCCATGCATAAAAACGATTAATGCATAAGAAAAAGTACATTTTAGTCAAAATCATGTTTTCTATCAATGTTACCCAACATGAACATATAATAAGCATTTTAAGACAATTCAACATAATGTCATACCAAAGTGTAACCAACCCAAGCAACACATTGTGCAATGCCAAGAATAGAATTCCATAACCCTATCCAAAGCTAAGTATCACCTTGACTCCTAGTACATACATAAAACATAAATTCATATTTCATTATGTAATACTTTCTTCATAATGATAATACACATAACTAGACATACATAACATATAATTAACTTGTTTATAATAGAAAACTACTAGAACTATCCATTAGGACCCTACAAGTGCAATGTGTAAGAGAAGTCACATCCCCTCTCTCACACCATGTAGAAACCTTCAAGAAAATCCCTAACAAGAGTTAATACCTTTAAATTATTCATTTATTTTTAGATTATGGAAAATAATTGCAATAAATGATATTAGACCATGTGAGCTATATGAAATTTGGTGTTCTACTCCCACACTGAAAAGAGAGGGTTAACACTTTCCTAAGGTGTAACCATTCATACATAGCTATCTAGGTGGATCCACTAAGCTATAATTCTATGTGGGCCCATTGTTAAGGGTCAAGGAAATTGTTAATACAATCCTTGACTTCCCAGACGGGGGTTTCCATCTCATGAGACAACACATATCTTGGGAATCCGAACATGGTAAACATAAAGAAATCCATGTGGGAGGCCGGACATACTAAACATGAGACCTCCATGTCATTTACATGTCCTTTCGGTACTAAGAATTTATTCCTTTTAGTTATCATCTTATTTACTAATACAAGTTCACATTAGTCTCTTCTAGACTCCTATGTAAACGGCTTAACATAATAGCTTATAGGTCATCACAAGTGAGAACAATACTTTCACTTTAGAAACCCCTAATCAAGTGGGTAAACCTTTCACTTATCAATTTATTATAATCATGAGAAGCTACTTTTAATCATATAATAATCATACTATATCATTCATACATACTTGATAGCTAATTCCTGTGTCGAGGTATAAGGATGAGGAATATTTATCGTCAACATCACAACCACACATTAGACATAGGATCATTACTATCTAAGTAACTCATATTTCATAGTTGAATTTAAGAAAGAACCAAACAAATTCAATAAGTATTTCATAGAAATAATCATTGTGCATAATTTATATACTCATCATCTTCCACAATTAACATAGAACTTTCAAGGTATAATGAATTTAGGGAAGAACAAAGGTCCAAAGCGATATCTCAAGTGATTAACAATAATTATCCATAATTACATAGTTAATAAAAAATAAAAGGTCATAATTCATTACAATTGAACAACAATTACGTTTTGAAAAGAGGACCCATGTGTAGATTGCAACCCTAGTATTGGGGAATTTAGAAATCATCTTTTGGAAGGACCTTTTGGGGAAAGAATCCCAAGAGTGAAAGAAACCATTCCTTAGGGATGATTTTCCATGAATTTGAGATGGATTCCTTGTGAATTCGTCCTTCTCTTGGAGATCTATTGTTCCTTCAATGGAGGTTTGAGTTTGGGTGAGGGAAGCTAGAGAGAAGTTGGAGATAAGTGGGTTTTGGTGAAATAATGGGGTGTTAAGTTAGTTAATTGACTTAGGGTACTTATAAAGTCCTTAATTAACTAATTATAACATACCTAAGACCCTAATTAATCAATTAATCAATTCCTGAACAACCCTCACTTAACCGAGTTTTGGAGAGTGAAGTGGGATTCCAAATGACGAAACCCCGTCTACGGTTCGTACACCAAACCATGGCGTCGTACTGGAAATCCGTGGTTCTTGTCAAAGAGTCCAATTTTGGCCATTTTTGGAAAATGGCTAAGTCTTCACCAAAGACGACCATCGACGGGCCATTGACCCATCGACGGCTCTTTGTTTGGTTCGTCGACTGCCACTGTCCAAAGACAACTTTTAGGGTCAAATTCAAGGGTCCTCCTCAAGGACCCCTAGGGTGGTCCTTGGGGAGTTGTACCTAGACGTTTCGGTCCTAAACGCACTCTACTATGTGCTTAACACCTTTTTGCCAAATTTGACTAAATTTCGACTCTTAAAACTTCTTGAAACATACCAAGGCACACTTCCATTTTCACTAGTCTCCGGACGCGTGATTGTTTTTTACATTTTGATTCTAATGCTTCCTAGATAGTTTGAATGCATTATTTTAGTCTTAGAGACATTATTTTAAGGCTTTTTTTTTTTTTCATATAGTGAGGATCTAGCTAAGTCATGAACTTCTGGGGTATTACATTATTAGATCTTTGATTATTAACTCACCCTAGAACGTGTATTTCGTCTTATTTTATTAAAAAATTCTTCTTTATTATTTAAATAATTGAATGTTTGATTTAGTGTAGAGGTAAAATGGTAATCTAATTGACTTTTCACTTTTGAAGCTTCTCACTTATAATAATATATATGATGATCTCTGATATATGGGATGTTCAAAAATATCACTTTTTCAATGAACTTTGATTGAGTAAAAGTTGGAAGCTTAACTCATTTGAATAATTCATATTTCACCCATAATTTACTACAAACACGATCCAGGTCTTCCATTTCTCTTCTATCCATTTTTCTCAAGTTCTTATTTTGATTGAAGAAACCTTGACATATGGAGAAATTAATGACTAAGATTTAATTGATTACATCAATAGTCTAATCATAATTGAAATAATTAGTACTTCATAAGCAAATTAATAATGTCATATTATAATAATATATTATCTTGTCCATGAATAACATCATAAACTTTTCTTTGTTTTCCTACTTCTACCCCCTACGAATATGTATCTCTCTTTCTTACTTTTTTTTTCAAATAAGTTAATATTTGATTCAAATTGTTTGTGGATCTTTCTCTTAACAAAATTAGCTATCATGGAGAACTATATTGACGGACAATTTTAAGTCATCTTGTTTTAGCAAAAAAAAAGTGAGGTAAATACTGCTAAGGGGGAAAAATTAGGAAGAGAGACTAAAGTTTATAATATTTTCATGAACAACATAATATAATGATATAATAGTGGAATTATCCCTACAACCACAAGCATCACTTGCATCAAGTCCCCTTGTTTGACGTATACGAGATAGCTACTCTGCGAGGTTCAAGAGCAGAGACAAATGCAACAAATGAATGTTTCCAAATATTGAACATTGTAATAAAGAAAATATGAGTTTTGATAATTATAAGACTCTTTATCTACTAGTCGTGTAGATTTGATTATGGAGAGATAGAAAAAGGAGCACATTTATTAAGAAACAGTATAATAGTTAATACTCAATTTATAAAGGTAACATGACTTGACGTGTTCAAATATTAAAACAAGCAATCAAAAATAGTACTTTAGAACAACAAGTTACTCTTGTTTAATTTTCATAAATGCCATCCCATATGTTGAGGAAACGAGATCAACAAGGAGGGAAATTGCAGAAGCACAAATGAAATAATGGGTAGGAGAGCCATTGTCATGATGGGTATAAAAACCCATGATTTCTCCTGCCCAAACTCTTTGTTAAACATCATAAATACTGTGGAAATAATCAGAGTTACCACTCCCTGGATAAGACTTCTTGGCAAAGTATGCAGGAAATCTTCTTGTGCATAACGAGATGTCAAAATAGAAAAGAACACTAATAGAGAGGTGCTTGAAGTGAACAATGAATCTGCATTCGAGATTGCAAAAATGATGAAAACACAATGTTTCCAGCTGAGAAAATGGGGAGTCCACTTTTTTCTTTGTTGCCACCTGGTACTGTGATTGCTGCAGCAAAAGCGATGGTAGCAAATAGTGATGCTGCAATTGTGCGTGTGCTTGATGTTCCATTTCTCTCCATGTACTTTCAACTTCTCATGTTCCTCAGTAAAAACCACATACGGAGCTTTCTCCTCACGATTTAAGGCGGGACCATCTGCTTTACTTTGACATAGTATTATACGCAACAAGACTATTCAACAATACATATATAACTTGAAAATTTTAAAAGGAAAACATTTACTCAAGGTTGTATACTAAAAACTGAATTTTATTTGGAAAAACCAATAGTGCAATTAATGTGGCAATTAAAATGCTTAGTCATCACTCTCTTTGTCTCATTTTAGTTGTCATTTGTCACTTTTCAAGAGTCAAACTACATTAACTTTGACTTATATTTTAAAATTAACATGAGAAAATTAATAACTTGTCATATAGTTTTTTAACATCAAAACTTGATCTGGTCCAGTTTGACTTTTGAAAAGAGAAACCTGACAAATAATTTGGGATTGAAGAAGTACAAATTTTTAACCACATAATGAGATAAATTCTATTGGAGTACAGAAGTTGAATCACCTTAAACCATTGTAGTTCTAGTTATATCTGAAAAACTGGTCCAGAGACAAAGTTTAGCTTATTTTGTGGTGACATCTTTCCAGCCAAATCCAAGATGGTATTGCCCGAGGAGTCAAAATAAATCACCAAATGGTTCAGAATCCGGCTCATCTGACAGACCAACTTAAACACAATTTTGCAGCGATTCTCTATTGCAATGTGTAAGTTCATAATAAACTAAATAAGGAAATCTTCTGACTATAAGTTCAACAAACTTGTAGTTATCAAAATATGCTGCATCAAGTAGAGAATTGCCAGCAATAGATTCAACATCTCTGTCACTCAGCTTTTCTATGTTCTGGCATAAGCATGTTGCATACTTAAATGCATAGTGATGAATTGACTTTTGACTCTCGAACTAATTTCAAATAAGGCACAGTAACACAACAACACAAAATGAGTAATTTTTTCGAGACACAAAGTACAAAAAATTAGTGTAGGTGAAATCCTTAGGCTTATACAGAAATTTGCAGAATTAGATGACTTGTATCGAAAGTCAAGGACACGAGAAGAGAAAAATAAATGGGTAATGGAGGAAAAAAAGATGAATAAAGCAAGTGAATCAAACTAGGATAATTTTTGCAGATCTTCATACATAAATACGTATTAGAGAAGAACTTTAGCTACACTAATAGAATTAGACCCGCAAATAAAATAATGCAATGAAAAACTTGTGGATCGGTCTGAAGTGCCTCGACAAGGTTGGAATAGAATGACTTGACAAGTTTTTCTGCCAGTAGAAAGACCCCAAAAGATGAGAAGTTATTCAGTATAGCAACCTGTCCCTTTAACTACTTTTGGCCATTTTGAGCCTGAAAGATCACCTTCTAACAATAGAAATTGAAAATTATTGAACCAAGATTATTAAGGGAGAAAACCAAGATTTTAAAACCTAGTTTCTAAATCATAAAACTAGGGATTTTATAGCATACATGTCAATCTACTTGCACTAAAGTTGAAGGGATTCAATAAGAAATTAAGAATATGTTTATCATGGAAGAGAAGTCAAAGATTGGCCCAATAATTATAACAAGTGGACTAAATTTCATGGTTAAAAGTTCGAGTCCAAGAGCCAAAAGATTGGGTCATGTCCCAAGAAGAGGGCCTACATGAAGCCCAATAGGAGAATAAAAGTTTCATATTTTAAAACTTTCCTAGTATAAAGTTTTTAAATTAACTTTATTAGTATCATAATTATTTTTATTTGCTAATTTTGATTACTAAAATCAATTAAGATTTTTAGCACTTCTCTTGATATTTGAAGATTTTAATGTTGAATTTCACTTTCTTTCAATTTTTGTCTTTAATCTTTATAATTTTATTTCTGCATTATTTTACTATTTATTTTGGTATCTGTTCTATCAAGGTTTCGTTTTTGATAATCTTGTGAGTTTGAAAAAAAATTGTATTTGCTTAAAATTACAAAAGAAGGAGAGAAAAAAACAAAATTTTATTTAAAATTAAGAGGAAAAAATTCAAGTTCTTCCAAATTAAGTTGCATTCTGAAACATCACGAAGTGGGGAAATTTGAAGTTTATTTTTTCTTGTTTCACAAAGTGATCTTTTCTCGTCTCATTAATCCTAATTTATCTAGGCTTCAATTAAATATTATATTTATATATCGTACTTTGACAAGATTGTTACTAATCTTGTTTATACATAAATGTTAAAGGATTCATCGAAATATAGTAAATTGTATAAAGTAAATATTATATCTAGGTAGACAAACAAAAATGACATTCAAATTAAAATATTGAATTCATTAAGGATACTGAGAGATGTTACCAAAAGTTTCAAGAAGAGCAAACAACTTGTTGATCACTGTGATAAAAACACACACACACAAACGCTAATGAGATTTAATTTTCCTAAAATTATTGAGGACATGGAATATTAAAGAAAAAATAAAAGATGATAAAATTCACCAATCCTGTAGCAATTTCTTTCATACTTTGTTTTATTTACCATTTGTGATACATTCTCCAAATCATTGGCAATTGATGTTTTTTGGAGACTCTGTGAAGTTAACCGAATAGGAACACCTTAATAGGGGAGAAAAGGCGATTAGTCAGCGAAGGACAACATGAATTAGGTAAACATAGAATTAAGGAGAAGGTTAAACTCACAATAGTAGAGTAATTGTTGCCAAAAGTGTAGACGACTTCCGCGAACGAAAGTAAATTCCTTAATGGCGAGGTCCTTCAAAGCAGATCTTTCGTATTCCGCATATTCTGCCCCATGAGTGAACTCTTCAACTAACTCAGTTGCAAAATCTATCAACAACACTTGCTAGTTATATATATATTGCACCACAGTTTCTTAGAAAAATATCACAGGTTTAAATGAACAATAATGTTTTACACAACCTATGAAAATTGAAATCAAATAACAACAATGACATGAAGTTGAAAAATGTGAGTGAAGAAGAGAGTAACCGAGATATATATATAGGAGAAAGAGTAAGTCACAATTTAATTCAATTTGTTATTTCTACATATACATATTTGAATCTTCCAAGTATATGATGTCTTTTTTATACAAGTTTACTGTGAGTAAAAATCAAACTAACCAACACATTTTGGAAATCAGAGGTTTTAAGCTTTGACTCATCAATCACAGGTTTCAGTTTTATTGTTTATTACTAATATTTAAATAAGCAAAATTAAATCTTTCAATGATTTCACAAATAATCTTTTTATAAATAACACAAGATTAATAATCAATAATAAAGAAAAAAGTATTATAATTACTTTTTGAGAAATATCATGACACAACTAATTAAAAAAATAAAATTTAAAGCAAAAAAAAATCAAAAAATTAAATTAAAAATGTTTGGACCTACGTTTTCACGCCTGGGACGTACGTTTTTATGCTTGAGGCTTACTCCTCAAATTTAAAAATTTACGCCTTATGGATCTACGTCTTTAATTTACACCCCGGAGAAATTTTGGTACGCGCTGCCTTGAGACTCGCCCCAAAAACATTTTCGAGAACACTGGTATATGTCTTTAGATTTGAGGAGAAAAAATTTATAGATAAAGATGTCTTCGAGAAACATTCCTGAGCTTTCGTCATCGGCCTTCACAAAAGAAGTCAACCTTCTTTGTTTTATGGTGCTCGCTACTTTCTATTTGAGGCATTAATGCAATCTGGTTTCGTTTTGTGTATGTCGTGTCAAATATCAATACATCCATCACCAAGGCACACAAAAATGGGATAAATTATCAATCCTCGTGCAAACCCATCTTAACTAAAAGATGCTTTGAGTCTTCTACTATTCTTACCCGAGTTTTGGTTCACTCATATCTATCCTTCATCACCCTATTGTTAGATACCAATCCACCTCTGGCCTCATAGCGTATCAATAGAAATTCTCTCGGGATTTTATCACAAGTTTTTTTCTAGGTCAATGAACACTACATATAGATTCCTCTTCATTTTCTTTTACTTCTTCACCAGTCTCCGCATAAGATAAATGGCTTCGTAGTCGATTACCCTGATATAAATTTGAACTGGTTCTTGAAAATAGGCACTCCCTCCTCACTTTCTGTTATATTTTAAGTGTTTTGATGATCCTCACTAATGCAGGAACCTGGTCCCTGGCTGAGTGATCTCGTCCAAATACAAATGGAGTATAACTGTAAAGTTGTCATGTCAGGTGGTAGGTTAAAAGTGCAGTGTCCTACACTAATAGGAAGAGCGGATGATATTGTCTATTTCAGTGTCTCACAAACAAAGGAACCTGGTCCCTTATTAAGTTATCTCGTCAAAATCAATTTTTGTGAGCAGCTGTAAAGCTATCATGTAAGAGGCTAGTGAGACGTCAACGTACTACACCACTCAGAATGGACGCAGTTGTTTGTCCAACGATCAATAACTATTTATGGTTGACTTAGTCAACATGAAAATCGACAAATAAATTCAAATCATTTAAATAAGAAAATCAGTCGGCAGTCCTTTTCTAGAAGTCACAAAGAAGTCTGTGAGGGACCTGATCCCTGCAAGATTGTTTACGTGAAAAGGTGACAAGACAACTGTCAGTAAAGCTGCTATGGTAGGTGCACATCTTTTCTAACAGCAGGCCTTCAGCCAATGGGATGGTCTCAATGAGTTTGTGGTGATTTATATCATCTCTTTTCAAAAAACACAAACTTAAGATTAGGCAAATTAAAACTCAAAGATCTTAAAAGAAAAGGTCATCTTCAAGAAATAATTCAAGCACAAGAATGCACACAACAAGGACCCGATCAAGAAAAAAACGCTTTTCATACTTGTTTTTGTTCTTGAATGTTTACATTGAGCTTAACTTGTAGGATTTGTTTCATTGTTTGATAGAAACGTTTCAAACTTGGTTTGAGTCTTGTTAGAACATAGTTATGAGTAACTTTTTTCCTTACTGTAAAAGTCTATAATAATAAGTTGGGCTAGTATCGAGGGCGGTGTGGTATCCGCTTAGTTAAAGTCTAAGTCATCTACAGCTGATGCCCTGGCTTGTCTATGTAATAGGTGGTATGGTTTAGTGTGGAAATTAGCAGGCTAATTTCATTTTGTAAACTCACTTTTACTTTTGTTTGAAGAATATTAGTGGAACAAGTTTGAAAAGTCCTATTGAGGATAGGTCGTGATTTTACCCTTGATCAATGAGGTTTCCACATAAAGTTGCTTGTTCAATCTTTACTTTTAGCACTTATTTTACTGGTTGTTATTGTAATTGTACTGAGGACCTAGTCCTATCGAAACAAATTGACGCATATTTTTAGTTACTGTTATTGCTGAGTAAAGGGACCTGGTCCTTGACTGATAAGTGGGCGCATACATTACAACACCCTCAACTCCACTCCCTCTTCCAAACTTCCATAGTGTGTAGTTTGATACTCTTGTAATTGCAACTGTAGATATCACCCTCTTTCTAGTAGAATGAAATCAATATACTCCACCTTTATTCTTATAATATTATAGTCGTCTTTAAAATAACATTAAGCAATCAAGTTAACCATTCAATTCATGCCTGCCCCGCGTGTACTCTTTCAAAACTCCAAGAAACCTCATATGGGTTGTCCCCTATAATATTCAATCGTAATAGATCTATAATATTCAAAATCCTAATGTTTCTTTTATTACTCCTAATTACCCAACACAATGTGTTTGTCCCCTTATTCGTTCAAGATGTTATGGAAATATGCTTGTCATCTTCATCTAATAAGAGCATCTTCCACTAGCACTTAGCCGTTCTTATCTTCTATGTATTTCACTTGATTTAGGTCACAATTCTTCATTTATCTCGCCTTGGAGAGCATGTACAAATTTTTATCTCCACTTTTAATTTTTCCCCTTGCTTAAATGCAAGGGTTCATAAGATGTCATTTTTGTCGTCCTAATCGCTAACTTCTTTGTTTTATATGGTTATACCTTTTCTAATTCATCTGTTTTTCCTATAGATCTCTGCTTTCACCAACTTTGCACAAGTAGTCTACTATGTTTCAACTTTGCCTTAACTTTGCTTTAAACTTCTCCATTCAACCACCATCCCCTTCATGACCACCAAAAGTAATCATTGAAACCCTAGAATTTCTTTGCCTGCTTCCCTAATGCAACGAATTGTCCTATCTCACATGTTGTTTGCATCCCCACTACTCCATGAAGCTCAGATTTCCATAAACCTCTCATCCATCCCCCAAGCTCGACTAGGGATCAAGCATCCTATTTGATACTCCAAATCACTCGCAAAAATTTTAAAATAATTTCAATATGTATACATATTTATGTCAAACGCCCACTAAACTTCAACACTTATATCAAAATCCATAAACATTTATTTAATAGTAATACTCAATAAGGTCACCATTAAGAATAAATACCCTATCCCTCAGATTGACGACTTATTTGATCAACTCCAACGGGCAAGTTACTTTTTGA